AGGGAGACGTGCAAGGGGGAAAGGGGAAGATGTGTGTTTTTTATATGCCTGAACCTCCGCTCCCTCCACACTGCTCTCCTCCAGTGCTCTGACATGGGAGAGAAGGTCAAGGGTAATAGGGAGACGTGCAAGGGGGAAAGGGGAAGATGTGTGTTTTTTATATGCCTGAACCTCCGCTCCCTCCACACTGCTCTCCTCCAGTGCTCTGACATGGGAGAGAAGGTCAAGGGTAATAGGGAGACGTGCAAGGGGGAAAGGGGAAGATGTGTGTTTTTTATATGCCTGAACCTCCGCTCCCTCCACACTGCTCTCCTCCAGTGCTCTGACATGGGAGAGAAGGTCAAGGGTAATAGGGAGACGTGCAAGGGGGAAAGGGGAAGATGTGTGTTTTTTATATGCCTGAACCTCCGCTCCCTCCACACTGCTCTCCTCCAGTGCTCTGACATGGGAGAGAAGGTCAAGGGTAATAGGGAGACGTGCAAGGGGGAAAGGGGAAGATGTGTGTTTTTTATATGCCTGAACCTCCGCTCCCTCCACACTGCTCTCCTCCAGTGCTCTGACATGGGAGAGAAGGTCAAGGGTAATAGGGAGACGTGCAAGGGGGAAAGGGGAAGATGTGTGTTTTTTATATGCCTGAACCTCCGCTCCCTCCACACTGCTCTCCTCCAGTGCTCTGACATGGGAGAGAAGGTCAAGGGTAATAGGGAGACGTGCAAGGGGGAAAGGGGAAGATGTGTGTTTTTTATATGCCTGAACCTCCGCTCCCTCCACACTGCTCTCCTCCAGTGCTCTGACATGGGAGAGAAGGTCAAGGGTAATAGGGAGACGTGCAAGGGGGAAAGGGGAAGATGTGTGTTTTTTATATGCCTGAACCTCCGCTCCCTCCACACTGCTCTCCTCCAGTGCTCTGACATGGGAGAGAAGGTCAAGGGTAATAGGGAGACGTGCAAGGGGGAAAGGGGAAGATGTGTGTTTTTTATATGCCTGAACCTCCGCTCCCTCCACACTGCTCTCCTCCAGTGCTCTGACATGGGAGAGAAGGTCAAGGGTAATAGGGAGACGTGCAAGGGGGAAAGGGGAAGATGTGTGTTTTTTATATGCCTGAACCTCCGCTCCCTCCACACTGCTCTCCTCCAGTGCTCTGACATGGGAGAGAAGGTCAAGGGTAATAGGGAGACGTGCAAGGGGGAAAGGGGAAGATGTGTGTTTTTTATATGCCTGAACCTCCGCTCCCTCCACACTGCTCTCCTCCAGTGCTCTGACATGGGAGAGAAGGTCAAGGGTAATAGGGAGACGTGCAAGGGGGAAAGGGGAAGATGTGTGTTTTTTATATGCCTGAACCTCCGCTCCCTCCACACTGCTCTCCTCCAGTGCTCTGACATGGGAGAGAAGGTCAAGGGTAATAGGGAGACGTGCAAGGGGGAAAGGGGAAGATGTGTGTTTTTTATATGCCTGAACCTCCGCTCCCTCCACACTGCTCTCCTCCAGTGCTCTGACATGGGAGAGAAGGTCAAGGGTAATAGGGAGACGTGCAAGGGGGAAAGGGGAAGATGTGTGTTTTTTATATGCCTGAACCTCCGCTCCCTCCACACTGCTCTCCTCCAGTGCTCTGACATGGGAGAGAAGGTCAAGGGTAATAGGGAGACGTGCAAGGGGGAAAGGGGAAGATGTGTGTTTTTTATATGCCTGAACCTCCGCTCCCTCCACACTGCTCTCCTCCAGTGCTCTGACATGGGAGAGAAGGTCAAGGGTAATAGGGAGACGTGCAAGGGGGAAAGGGGAAGATGTGTGTTTTTTATATGCCTGAACCTCCGCTCCCTCCACACTGCTCTCCTCCAGTGCTCTGACATGGGAGAGAAGGTCAAGGGTAATAGGGAGACGTGCAAGGGGGAAAGGGGAAGATGTGTGTTTTTTATATGCCTGAACCTCCGCTCCCTCCACACTGCTCTCCTCCAGTGCTCTGACATGGGAGAGAAGGTCAAGGGTAATAGGGAGACGTGCAAGGGGGAAAGGGGAAGATGTGTGTTTTTTATATGCCTGAACCTCCGCTCCCTCCACACTGCTCTCCTCCAGTGCTCTGACATGGGAGAGAAGGTCAAGGGTAATAGGGAGACGTGCAAGGGGGAAAGGGGAAGATGTGTGTTTTTTAAATGCCTGAACCTCCGCTCCCTCCACACTGCTCTCCTCCAGTGCTCTGACATGGGAGAGAAGGTCAAGGGTAATAGGGAGACGTGCAAGGGGGAAAGGGGAAGATGTGTGTTTTTTATATGCCTGAACCTCCGCTCCCTCCACACTGCTCTCCTCCAGTGCTCTGACATGGGAGAGAAGGTCAAGGGTAATAGGGAGACGTGCAAGGGGGAAAGGGGAAGATGTGTGTTTTTTATATGCCTGAACCTCCGCTCCCTCCACACTGCTCTCCTCCAGTGCTCTGACATGGGAGAGAAGGTCAAGGGTAATAGGGAGACGTGCAAGGGGGAAAGGGGAAGATGTGTGTTTTTTATATGCCTGAACCTCCGCTCCCTCCACACTGCTCTCCTCCAGTGCTCTGACATGGGAGAGAAGGTCAAGGGTAATAGGGAGACGTGCAAGGGGGAAAGGGGAAGATGTGTGTTTTTTATATGCCTGAACCTCCGCTCCCTCCACACTGCTCTCCTCCAGTGCTCTGACATGGGAGAGAAGGTCAAGGGTAATAGGGAGACGTGCAAGGGGGAAAGGGGAAGATGTGTGTTTTTTATATGCCTGAACCTCCGCTCCCTCCACACTGCTCTCCTCCAGTGCTCTGACATGGGAGAGAAGGTCAAGGGTAATAGGGAGACGTGCAAGGGGGAAAGGGGAAGATGTGTGTTTTTTATATGCCTGAACCTCCGCTCCCTCCACACTGCTCTCCTCCAGTGCTCTGACATGGGAGAGAAGGTCAAGGGTAATAGGGAGACGTGCAAGGGGGAAAGGGGAAGATGTGTGTTTTTTATATGCCTGAACCTCCGCTCCCTCCACACTGCTCTCCTCCAGTGCTCTGACATGGGAGAGAAGGTCAAGGGTAATAGGGAGACGTGCAAGGGGGAAAGGGGAAGATGTGTGTTTTTTATATGCCTGAACCTCCGCTCCCTCCACACTGCTCTCCTCCAGTGCTCTGACATGGGAGAGAAGGTCAAGGGTAATAGGGAGACGTGCAAGGGGGAAAGGGGAAGATGTGTGTTTTTTATATGCCTGAACCTCCGCTCCCTCCACACTGCTCTCCTCCAGTGCTCTGACATGGGAGAGAAGGTCAAGGGTAATAGGGAGACGTGCAAGGGGGAAAGGGGAAGATGTGTGTTTTTTATATGCCTGAACCTCCGCTCCCTCCACACTGCTCTCCTCCAGTGCTCTGACATGGGAGAGAAGGTCAAGGGTAATAGGGAGACGTGCAAGGGGGAAAGGGGAAGATGTGTGTTTTTTATATGCCTGAACCTCCGCTCCCTCCACACTGCTCTCCTCCAGTGCTCTGACATGGGAGAGAAGGTCAAGGGTAATAGGGAGACGTGCAAGGGGGAAAGGGGAAGATGTGTGTTTTTTATATGCCTGAACCTCCGCTCCCTCCACACTGCTCTCCTCCAGTGCTCTGACATGGGAGAGAAGGTCAAGGGTAATAGGGAGACGTGCAAGGGGGAAAGGGGAAGATGTGTGTTTTTTATATGCCTGAACCTCCGCTCCCTCCACACTGCTCTCCTCCAGTGCTCTGACATGGGAGAGAAGGTCAAGGGTAATAGGGAGACGTGCAAGGGGGAAAGGGGAAGATGTGTGTTTTTTATATGCCTGAACCTCCGCTCCCTCCACACTGCTCTCCTCCAGTGCTCTGACATGGGAGAGAAGGTCAAGGGTAATAGGGAGACGTGCAAGGGGGAAAGGGGAAGATGTGTGTTTTTTATATGCCTGAACCTCCGCTCCCTCCACACTGCTCTCCTCCAGTGCTCTGACATGGGAGAGAAGGTCAAGGGTAATAGGGAGACGTGCAAGGGGGAAAGGGGAAGATGTGTGTTTTTTATATGCCTGAACCTCCGCTCCCTCCACACTGCTCTCCTCCAGTGCTCTGACATGGGAGAGAAGGTCAAGGGTAATAGGGAGACGTGCAAGGGGGAAAGGGGAAGATGTGTGTTTTTTATATGCCTGAACCTCCGCTCCCTCCACACTGCTCTCCTCCAGTGCTCTGACATGGGAGAGAAGGTCAAGGGTAATAGGGAGACGTGCAAGGGGGAAAGGGGAAGATGTGTGTTTTTTATATGCCTGAACCTCCGCTCCCTCCACACTGCTCTCCTCCAGTGCTCTGACATGGGAGAGAAGGTCAAGGGTAATAGGGAGACGTGCAAGGGGGAAAGGGGAAGATGTGTGTTTTTTATATGCCTGAACCTCCGCTCCCTCCACACTGCTCTCCTCCAGTGCTCTGACATGGGAGAGAAGGTCAAGGGTAATAGGGAGACGTGCAAGGGGGAAAGGTGAGAAAGTCAAGGGGGAATGGGCAGATGTGCAAGGGGCGAAGCAGCGAGGGATGCGAAATGGGGTACAGGGAGTTGTGTAAGGCTGACGCGCACAGGGAATGTGCACTGTCATGGTCTGACTTCAGAGTTAATTTGAAACACAAATTCCCGAACGTTGCATGCACATAGCCCCTACAGTATACCACTCCCTCTTACACCTGAAACATTCAAGATGTAACCGACTGGTCTTCGTTGTTGAGCATACCCCTTCTCCCACCGACCCTCAAATCAAATCTCCCTTGCATGATTCACCCCCTCTTACAGGTTGGTGAGTCCCATGAGGCTCCCAATGTCTTCTGGGATAACCTTGGATACTCTCTGAAACCAGCAATCCACCCCACCCCTGCAGAAACAAACTTCCTCTTACAGCTTCGAGAGTCCCACAAGGTTCCCAATGTCTTCTGGGATAACTTTGGTCCTTGGTTGGTTATTCTCAAAAACCAACAACCCACCCCACCCCTGCAGTAGCAACTCTATGATCTATCTTACAGCTTGGTGAGTCCCACGAGGTTCCCAATGTCTTCTGGGATCTGCCCGTTGAGATTGCACTCGCTCATCGTGCTGCAACAACAACAGGGGAGAGGGAGAAGGAAGAAAATCTCGTGAAGGGAAGGGCTGAGGGGGAAATGCAGGAAGGGATCTGCCTGTTGAGATTGCACTCGCTCATTGTGCTGTAACAACAGGGGAGAGAGGAAGGGAGAGAAACATCTGATGCCTCTGGGAAGCGGGAGATGAGGAGGATGTTTTGAGACGTCTCGAAACACTACTTTTATCACGTGTGTTGAGACGTCTCAAAACACTACTTTTATCACGTGTTTTGAGACGTCTCAAAACACTACTTTTATCACGTGTGTTGAGACGTCTCAAAACACTACTTTTATCACGTGTTTTGAGACGTCTCAAAACACTACTTTTATCACGTGTGTTGAGACGTCTCAAAACACTACTTTTATCACGAAGGGAGAGAAACATCTGATGCCTCTGGGAAGCGTTAGATGAGGAGGATGTTTTGAGACGTCTCAAAACACTACTTTTATCACGTGTGTTGAGACGTCTCGAAACACTACTTTTATCAGGAAGGGAGAGAAACATCTGATGCCTCTGGGAAACGGGAGATGAGGAGGATGTTGCTGGGAGGGGGGGATCTGCCGCCCGAGTGTGCATGCACTCACTCATTGTGGAGAGGGAGAAACGCTCAGTGCATGTGAGGGAAGAGGGAGGGATGAGGGTAATGCTAGGAGGGACTTTTGAGGCGCCTCAAAAGTTGACCTTTGAGGCCCCTCAAATGTCCCTTGAGTGTGCATGCACTCTCATTGGGGAGAGGGAGAAACGCTCAGTGCATGTGGGGGAAGAGGGAGGGATGAGGAGGTCTGCACTTAGAGACTCCACCAGCTCATCGTGCTGTGGCGAGAAGGGAGAGCGAGGGAGGAAAGGAGGGAGTGGTGAGAAAGGGGAGAAACTCAGTGCATGCGAGGGAAGAGGGATGAGGGAGTTACTGGGAGGGAGGGAACTCCAACGACAGGAACAAGGTTTGAGGCGCCTCAAAAACTCAGTGCATGCGAGGGAAGAGGGAAGAGGGATGAGGGAGTTACTGGGAGGGAACTCTCCAACGTCAGGAACGAGGGAGGCAGTGACGGGAAGGGCAAGGGTAGAGGAGGGGTGCAAAACTGAAGACACCCAGACACTCATAGGTCAAGCTGGTCAACCCACGGCAATCTCGCAGGTCAAGCTGGTCAACCCATGGCACTCACAGGTCAAACTAGTCAGTCTAAGGCACTCACAGGTCAAGCTGGTCAATTTAAGGCAATCACAGGTCAACCTGGTCAACGGCACTCACAGGTCAAGCTGGTCAACCCACGGCACTCACAAACCAGAGACAGCAAGACTGCCAGTAACTCCCTTTTTTAGATGTCAACACAAGGCACTCACTGGTCAAACTAGTCAACCCACGCCACGACACTCACAGGTCTTGCAGGGTGGTGAGAGCGGTGAGGGACGGTGGAATTGTGCTATTAAGGTTCGCGTTGGTGCCCAGGATGATCGACTGGAGGTTGGTGAGGCGTGCGAGAGTGCCGGGGATGGTGCCGTTCAGATCGTTGGCTGACAGGTCGCTGGAGGGAGGGGGGAGGAGGGGTTGGTGGGGAGGGAGGACCAGAGGGAGGGAAAAGAGTGGGGAAGGGAGGGAGGAGGAGAGAGCGTTTGAGCGGATTCAAAAGTGGTTTCTCGTGGGTGCCCAGGTTGAGCGACTGCAGGTTGGTCAGGTGTGCTGCTAGCGTGGCAGAGATGGTGCTGTTCAAATCGTTGGCTGACAGGTCGCCAGGGTGAAGGGGGAAATGAGGGCAGGGGTTGGAAGGGGGAATGGATGGAAAGAGGGAGGGAGGGAGGGAAGGGGGGGAATTGGTAACAGAGGGAGGGAGGGAGGGAGGGAGGGAGGGAGGGAGGGAGGGAGGGAGAAAGGAAGGGAGGAGGGAAAAGCCGTGGGTGCTACGGGGCTGCTAAGCTGAAAAGGACAAGCAGAAAATGGAAGAGGAAGAGATTGAGAGGGCAAATTTCTGGGAGCATGAAGAGGTGGTGGTGTGGTGTGCATACCAGGAGACGAGGGAGGTGGTTTGTGATGGGAGAAGGGCATGCATGCATGACCAAACAAAGGCAGTCGAGCTTGATATTTATTGGTTCACAAGACCAAGAAAGCAAGGGAGGAAGGGAACTGAAGCTTTAATGTCGGGTAGCAAGCACTGTGGGGTGGACGAGGCAAGGAACCAGGCAGTGAGAGAAGCTGGGGCTTACAGGAATGTGAGCTGCTGGCAGGAATTGGTGTCACTTTAGAGAATTCTCAATAGCAACACGAGAATTCTCAAAAGAAACACCGACAAAGTGAGAGCCTGAGAGATGCTGAGGCTTACAGGAATGTGAGCTGCTGGCAGAACTTGATTCGAGTAGGAATATTGCCGGTTATCAAATTAAACGAGAGATCCCTGAGTGCGGGGAGCGAGAAACAATGTGGGGGGTGGTGTGGGGGGTGGAAAGGGAGGGCATTCGTATAAACCCAAAAGCTGCTTGCAGGACTTGATTTGTGTAGAAATGTTGCTGGTTATCAAGTTGAACGAGAGATCCCTGAGTGTGGGGAATGGGGAATGGGGGGGCGGGGAGGAGGAGGGGAGAGTAAAGAATGAAGTTTGGGGAGGGGAAATGGGAGCAAACGCGCAAACGTCTCTTCAACCTGCCTGCGACATGCTCACTTTTGCAGACTCTTTACTTTTTGTTCTTGTGTAAACAGACAATTTAGCCCATCATCTCACTTCACAGCAGCTCCTCAATGGTCCAGCAACCAGTTTTGATGCTGAAAAAGGCAGAAGAAACATACACACACACAAAAAGAAAATCGATATCCTAAGAGCATTGAATGCAGCCACCACCATTCATTCCACTTACAGGTGCTGCAGGCCTCGCAGGTTCTCAATGGTCCGGGGAATCGTGCCAAAGAAGCGGTTGTTTGACAAATCGCTGCACGAATCAGCGTATGGAGGGGGGAGATGTACGTGTGGAAGGAAGGGGGGAAGAGAGAAGGGGGTAAGGGGGGGAAGAGGGAAGGGGGGAAAAGGGGGAAGGGGGGAAAAGGGGGAAGGGGGGAAAAGGGGGAAGGGGGGAAGAAGGTGGTCGAGGTAAGGGACGGTGCAGTGCAGGTATAGGGAGGGGCTATGCTAAACACCCGATGCCACATGTGGAAAAAACTCGAACTTAAAAGCAGTGCCTCTTCTAACACGCAACGATTACAACAACGTGTGTGTTAACCACTCTGGTTCGCGTTGTGGGATATGCGAACCTTTATCTTCTGGACAGGCAATAGCAGTGTTCCGTCAGCATATGAGCCTCCCTTGGACACTCCAGGTCTCAAATTCCACTTTCAAGGTGCTGGAAACCACATCATCTTCTCTCGCTTGCTGAACTCACATCCTCTCTCACTGAGTGGACTCACATCTTCTCAATCTTCAGGAGCTTTCCCAGCTTGGTCGAGAGGGGCCCTGACAGGCGCATGCCGGAAAGTTCCCTGAGGAGGAGAGGATTGGGGGAGGAAGGATGAAACTTTGTTGAGAGAGCGGCCCTGACAGGCGCATGCCGGAAAGCTCTCTTTGGAGGGAAGGAACGGGGAAACGGACAAAAAGGGAGCAAACAAGGGATGTTTCCCAACAGGTCACGCCCCTCCACTTCCACTCACTCTTCTCGCTCTCTTGCCCTCACTCTTCTCATTCATTTCCTTTCACTTGTCTCATTCACCTACTCTCAACCTTCTTACTCACAATTCCTTCTCTTCCCTCACTCTCTCCCGTCACTCACAGCTCTTTGATTGACATAGTGCAGTTGGTGCAGGTGACGCTCCTCCCTCCACCACTGCCCTGGTTCTTTTCCACTCACTTCCGTTCCCTTCGCTCTTCTCACACATTCCAGCCTCACTCCCCTCATTCACAACGCATTGACTTGTGAGTCGACTCAAAAGTCACTCACATCGCTTCCTTTCACTCTTCTCACACACACTCTCCAGCCAGCCCCACTTCCCTCATCCACAACGCTTTCACACAGAGCTTCTCGGAGCTGCCTGCGGCGCGGGTAACAACAACCCTCCACTGCCCCACGGTCCTCCCCCTACCACGTCAGCAGAGCTGAAGTGCCCGTTTGACCCCTCTGCAATCGCCCAGTGCAAATGACGCTGCTTCAATCCCCCTCACTCCTCTCACTCACTCCCCCTACTCACAGCGCTTTGATGCAGAGCTTTTCTGAGCTGTCCCCAGTGCGATCGGTGCAGGTGACGCCCCTCCACTGCCCCTTGCTCTTCACCTCTCACTTTCCCTCATTTTTCTGATTCACTCCAGTCCCACCTCCCCTCACTCACAGCACTTTGATATAGAGCTTTTCAGAGCTGTCTGCAGTGCGGTCTGTGCAGGTGACACCCCTCCACTGCCCCTTGCTCTTTCCACTCACTTCCTTTCACTCTTCTCACTCACTCCATCCCCAGTTTCCCTCACTGCGCTTTGACGTATACCTTCTCGGAGCTGTCGCCAGTGCGGTCGGTGCACTTGACGCCCCTCCACTGCCCTGGCTCTTTTCCACTCACTTCCCTTCATTCCTCTCAACTCAATCACTCCAGCCCAATCTCCCCCCACTCACAGCGCTTTGATATAGAGCTTCTCGGAGCTGTCTCCAGTGCGATCGGTGCAGGTGACGCCCCTCCACTGCCCCAGGCACGGGTCCTCCCCCTGCCACGTCTGCAGGGCTGCGGGGCTGCCCCACGCCTTGCGCATCGCAATCAGTGCATCAACTACGTGGGGGAAGAGAGGGGGAAGGGGGGAGTTGGTGAGGCTGTCTGTCTGCCATGTGAAGGTGGTGTGCAGGGCTGCGGGGCTGCCCCACGCCTTGCGCATCGCAATCAGCGCATCAACTGCAGGACAGAAAAGAGGGTGGATTGAAGGAGCTGGGAAGGGGGGAAAGAGGGTGAAAATTTCTGCCACGTCTGCAGGGCTGCGGGGCTGCCCCACGCCTTGCGCATTGCAATCGTCGCAATCACGACTGTGGGAAAGAGGGTGTCGATGAGATGAGAGGGAAGGTTTGTTGCCTAGGGACAGATTGAGTCGACTCAACGTACACTTCGCTGGAAACCGCCCGTGCCGATGAAAGACGATCACCTTCCATGTAGAAACACAAGCAGCTCATAACGGGGGTTGCTTATAACGGTTAGCATAAGTCCAACCGACTCTGATACATCTCGAAACTCGCCAGTATTGGCACAATCGAGCCAGCTAGACCATGTGCCCGTTCCCGGGCACTGTTCACGCAGCGTTTGAGTTGAACGCGAGCCAGAATAAAGAAAGGTCAGACTTCCAGGTGCGTAACGTAGGCGATTTTTGCGGACTCTGAAAACAGCCTAAAACTGCAAAACGCTGGACTTTCAGCTGCCCGGTAGTGAATGTTCTAACGGGACCAGAAATGCTGAGCGATTCACGCTTACCCCCGAACCTATATTTTTTAGCAGTGTACGCTCGTCCGACAACGCCGCACGTATTGACGCCCCCTCGCTGAACCGATCAACCCTCGCGCCGTATGGGGATGGTTACACTCCTGACGGGGTAGTCGGCCTGAAACACTGCCTTAGCTATGACTTTTGAGGCGCCTCAAAAGTCAGGCTACATTCCTGACGGGGTAGTAGGCCTGAAATGCCATCTTTGCGATGTGGCAAGCCTCGGATATCCCAGTTCAAATGGGCGTCGGCCGTAGTGCTGCTTCTCGACGTCACGAAACTCAAGTATTCGAGAAGGGCGTCGTACGGTCGAGGTCGAAGCGCTAAAACGGTGTCGAGGTGACTTTTGAGTCGACTCAAAAGTCAGTTCAAATGGGCGTCGGCCGTAGTGCTGCTTCTCGACGTCACGAAACTCAGGTACTCGAGAAGGGCGTCGTACGGTCGAGGTCGAAGCGCTAAAACGGCGTCGTACTGCCGAGACGCTACCTCAGCCACGCCACAAACCTCGAATATATCAGATAAGAAGGGCGTCGTACGATCGCAATGTTGCCTTTCCGATGCCTCGAAGATCTAATACGTTAGGTTAAACGGGCGTCGTAAATGCTACCGTGCTGGGCTAAAGTGGATATGTCAAAGCGGACAACAAATAAGCACAGGTACGCACCATCCCAGTTGCGTACCGTTCGACGCTGCGCGGAGGTCCACGACTTTAGAATCTGCAGCGACGTGTTCTTGAGAATGCTAATAAATCGCTAACGGGCGCTCACCATCCCATTTGTGCACCGTTCGATGCTGCGCGACAGCTCCCGAGGTCCACAACCCTGAAATCTGCAACGACAGCAGCAGCGCGGCGGCAAGAGGGAGCTGCGCGCCGAGCCGAAACGCCGGCGACATTGATTGACGCGTCAACCACATTGGATCTCGACTCAGTTTATGCGGTCCTCTTAACTTGGGAAACGTTTGCGAACTCGCGTTCCCCGTCTGCGGACGATCGCGTTGCCCCTTTCGCGGACTCAGATTTCTTTCTGGCACGTCAACTGGTGCGTTGACGAAACGAGAGAAAGCGGGAAGGAAAGCTGCGGCGATGAATACGAGTGAGATCAACTTATAAACGGACAGAGGTATGAGAAGTACCCTTCTCTTTTCCCGTTTTTGACGCCTTAGTCAGCTCACTAGCATTACGGTAACAGGACCATTGCGGAGCGCAAATAACGACCACAATGAGGTGATGCTGCTGCTGTGTGGAAAGGGCTTACTGACCAACAGCTCCCTGCATCCTGCATTTTCGGCTCGGCGCGCAGCTCAAGTGTACGACCTTGGAATTGCCGAGTTTGGGACCAGATCAAGGGTCACACGAGCTTTGAAGAGTAAAACGCTTTCATCGAACGGTGCAAGTTCATCTCAGGGAGAAGAAAATGGAAGTGGAAGTCAGCCGCGGAGGAGGCGGACGGCGGGCAGGTGACTCATCTAGTACGTATTCAGCACTCACATCGTGGAGGTCCCCACATGACAACCTACCACTGGACGAATTTCAGAACGGGCTCTCAACTATTGATCCGACCCTTCATGAATTCCAGGGCACCGCAATGCGACAGGAAAGCAAGGCATGAAACACCCCCTGCATCCGGCATTTTCGGATGGCGGTGATGCTGGGGGAGGAGCTGTGGAATGCATAACGCGAACAGAGACTAAAGAATGTACAATGATAGATGCAACTTTGACATTTCTAAAACATACTTATTTTTATAACATTCCCAATCTAAATTTAATAGCACTGTTTGCTACAACTTATTGAAATATGACAAGCGCGAACAGTTTGCTGCCACGAAATCCTCTAGCTGAGCCTGCGAAGTTGACATCAAGTGCCCAGAAACCCGCGCACCACTTTACAATTCACGCAACACCCTAAGGTCGTATCCCTGGCTAGTGTCAAGAGTGGATAATGTCATGACACTATATCGGAAAGCGCATGGAGGACTAAACCTCCTGGTGTCAGCTTGGGATGGCTCGGGAAGTTGAACGGTCACGTCGCAACACCCTCATTGCGACAACTGACAAATCGCCTGTCACCCAAACACCAGCAAATTTGCGTGTCGCACATACAAATCTCTCATGCGCCCGCCAGCCAAGCGATGAATCGAAACCGTCTCAATTCCCGGCGGGAATTGTCAACACCACCGCGGTCCTAACTGCCATGAGCACCAGATCCAACTTCACAATTTCATAAACAACACAGATAAGTGCAGATCTGCACACCACAGTAGCACTCGACCATTACAGCTCTCCATCCCACAAGCGTTCCAGCATGTCCCTTCGTAAAAGTCGCAGTCAGAAAGGCAAGCAGAAAGTAGATGAGGAGAAGCCCTGGGTGGATCCCCCTTAAGTAGTCTGGATGAAATCGCGGCAAGCACAATGAGCTTCCCGTCCACGCATCGCAAACGAGGCTGCTGATGGCCCTGGATCTACATCCCAGTACATCGCGCACGACATTGACGGCCAAGCAGAGACTATAGACGCGGATACGGATGTTGACTCCGATGAGCTCGACGAAATACTATCGTCGAGCGATAGTGAGGCGGATTCGGACAACTCTGACAATGAAGGAAGCGAGGCCGAGGACGACGATGGAACCGAAGAGACAGACCGTAATGCGGGTGGGCGAAAGCGCCGTAGACGCAAATCTCGAGGGAAAAAGGACAAAGTCTACAACACCGAGTGGTCAGAGGAGGAGCTGGTTGAATTGGCGGCAGCACGCTGGAATACCCGTGACCATATCAAAGCCACTCAAGGAAAGCAGGGATCACAGTACTGGAAAAAAATTGCGGAAACACATGAAGAAGGCAAACCCGGGCTGGGATCGTGAGAGCGAGCCCATGAAGCAGGCTTGGAAGCGTATCATGGCGGACTACCGCAAGTATGCGCGCGCCGACATGGGATCCGGCAACAAAGCCACCAAGAAACATGTTACAATCCCAAATGGGACTTAGCGAAGGATCGTCTCAAGGTTGATCGCTGGTAGTGTTGCAGCGGAAGTGTTGACATAAGGTCAAAGTGAATGTAAATGACTGAGATTGATAATAGCATGCATACATCGAGTTTATGTAGAAATCCAAAGGGGTACATTCCCTTATTACAGCGAAGTTCAAACCGTGCGGCGCGGGATCCCGTTTCAAACCTGTTCCTGCTCTTTTAACTTCAAATGCTTCTGCCTGCATCGGTCTTGATCTGACGGTTGCTGGTGTCGCTTCGACTCTTCTGACTCCTCGACTTCGTACTCGGTAGAGTCGGCTCCTGCAGCATACAAGAATGCCTTCTCATTGAATTTCATATCGTAACACCCCCCTTCATTCCTGGACGCGCAGAGGGCTGACTCGCTTGACTACTCCCGTGAGGTTGGAGCAGTGCTTGTACTGCTGACGTGGCAGTCGCTTGGTGAGGAAGTCAGCTCTTACCTCAGCGGTGGGGCAGTACGCCAGGTCAACCTTGCCCTGGTCAATTTCGTCCTTGACGAAAAATTATCGAAGCGCGATGTGCTTCATGCGGTTCATGGACTCCGGCTTGTTCGCAATCCTGATGGTGCTCTGGTTGTTGCAGTGAAGGCGAAAAGTGGGCGAAGTTGGAATTTTCACTTCCTACAGTAGTTCTTGCAGGTACAGACCTTCGTGAACTGCGGCTGTTGCGGTGATGTATTTAGCTTCTGCCGACGACATGGCAACCAACTCCTATTTCTGCGAGTTCCAGGAGATTGGCCCCATAGGCTCCAGACGGAAGACGAAACCATTTCGTGACCGTCAATTTGCACGGTCAGCAGTGTGGAAATGAGGAACGAGAATGAGTGAACTATGAAATGAAGTGAGTACAAATAGGAAACCCTAATTGGGTTGTACCCCCTATGGGATACCCCACTATAGCCTACACAACAGCATAAGCTATATAATGTTCTGACACACCCCCATAGGCAAAGTGGGGGAGAACAAGGGGTCACAAGACCAGTCAAGCAAAGCAGAGCAAGCTCAGGGTGGATCACAAAGTCACCACACAGTCCGAGCACAACGACAAGGCCACAAGGCCAGTTCACATGCAGGAGTGTAGACAGAGCAAGAGCAGGTATATATATGTAACAGTACAAGCAAGGTCAAGAAGAGAGCAAGTGAGGCAAGACAGGTACAAGACCCAGCTGGGTGCAGAAGCGCTGATGGTCACAAGGCGCAAGTGCCTTGGTGAACACATCAGCAGTGTTGGCCTCAGAGGCCACGTAAGCAAGTCGCAACTGACCACGCTGCTGCAGCTCACGAGCAAGAAAGTAACGGAGAGCAATGTGCTTCGTTCTGTGCTCCAAGCGCTGCTCTCGACACAAGGCCAGCATGGCCTTGTTGTCTACGTACAGCACTGGAGGAGAACGAGGCGGCTCTCCAAGGTCAGTC